TCTAGCGTTATTAACGTGTTCCTCACCTTGACGCTATAACGTTATTACTGCGCTTCAACAAAAAAAGCCCATTAAGCTCGTAACAAGGTTAGTAATTACACTAATGAGTAATCCATCAACAATTACAAATTATGGAAGACAGAATTCACTTCCTTGTCTACAGGCTGGCGGAAGTAATATCATAAGCGTCTAGAATTAACAGACTTACGTTCATCATTAAAGTACTGTGACACATTAACAAGTGTATATTATTGCAACACATCAAGTTTTATGTATCATTCAGCTTCAGATCTTAATTATTAATACGATTAGTAAACAATAATCAGTTTTCCATGGCCAAAAATACGTTCCGGCAGATCTAACGTAATACAGTAAAGATATACAGTACAGGTATATACTGGCGGGTCGGAGGGAATATATCTTATACAGTACATATTTACTAGAATATATGGCTATAGCCTGAATACTTCGGACAATAATAATAATAATCAATCAGAATTGCGAAGCATCTCCACACCCACCAACAACTACTACACCTCACCTCAGCATCTCTAGTATACTACACAAGCACACACACACAAGGCGTGAGTCGAGCACCACTTTACAACACTCTATGACTTGCTCACACTGGTTGATCCTCTCTAGATAAGCGCACAAGGCTAAGCTTAACGTCAGAGCTTGTGTGAGCAGTACCAACACCAGCACCCACTGACACGCATCTTCTGGGAGGAATGTTCCTTAATCGTACAACATTAAGTAAACATTCTCCCGGCTAAATATGGCAGTACGGTGAAAGTCATCATAACAAAAATGTGTCAGTTGATTTTATCTACGACATGAGACTGAGGCACGGGGTCACAGGGACGCTGAGAGCAACATGGGTCTACTGAACTAGGTCATGTGTTGGAGAGAGAGAGAGAGAGAGAGAGAGAGAGAGAGAGAGAGAGCACTAATGACTGTTATAAGAGAAGAATTTTATTCATTTTGGTGGGTAAAGGATAGCAGTTGTGTGTCGAGGCCGTCCTTCATGGCCATAATATATGTGGAGCCAGAGATGGTGTGTTGTAAGTTGTGTCCCTCACGACCTGTTCTGAACATGATAGTGACAACAACAGGTCAAAATAATGGCTAGTCAACATCGTTACAACAAGTCAACATGGTGACAACAACAGGTCAACATAATGGCTAGTCAACATCGTTACAACAGGTCAACATGGTGACAACAACAGGTCAGCAGTAACAACAACAGGTGCAACATATTGGCTAATTAACATGGTTTGCAACAAGTCAGCATGGTTGCAACAAGTCAATATGGTGACAACAGCAATTCAACATAATGACGTCAGCATGGATTTGCAACAACAGGTCAGCATGGTGACGACAACAGTCCAACATAATGGCCTGAATCAACATGGACGCAGCAACAGAATTAACATGGTGACATAACAGAACATAATGGCTAGTCAACATGGATTTGCAACAACGGAGGTCAGCATGGTGTGTAACAGGTCAACATAATGGCTAGTCAACATGGTTACAACAGGTCAACATGGTGACAACAGGTCAACATGGTGACAACAACAGGTCAACATAATGGCTAATCAACATCGTTACAACAGGTCAACATGGTGACAACAACAGGTCAACATAATGGCTAGTCAACATGGTTGCAACAACAAGTCAACATGGTTACAACAGGTCAACATGGTGACAACAACAGGTCAACATAATGGCTAGTCAACATGGTTACAACAGGTCAACATGGTGACAAGAACAGGTCAACATAATGGCTAGTCAACATGGTTGCAACAACAAGTCAACATGGTGACAACAGGTCAACATGGTGACAAGAACAGGTCAACATAATGGCTAGTCAACATGGTTACAACAGGTCAACATGGTGACAATAAGTCACATAGTGACAAAACATTTTGGTGACAATAATATGATGGTGACAATACCATACTGTGTCTGAAGTTGATATATATACTGTAAATAGTGGTTCCCAAACTGGGGGACGCGAAGTGAGCACAAGTGGGGCGTGAGGCCATGTAAAAAACTAAATAAATAAATAAACAAATTAAATTTTGAATTCGGCTTAAATATTAAAAATAAACAAATTAAGCGAGAACAGAAAGACGGCTGGATATTTTTAAGAAACACCAATATTCTGCCTTGCAATACCTCTACAAGTTAATAGACCATATCAAATAATATAAATACCGGTACAAATAAAATCAATCAATTTTGGTAAAATAAAAACGGGGGGGGGGCAATTAGGGTCTGGTGAAAATCAAATGGGGGATTGTCTAAATATTCAAATTACCCTTATTAGTAAAAACCTTGAGTGCACAAATATTAGTTTACTCGCGTGTTAAAAAATCTACGGCACCTTCTGTTATTATTTTTCAGTGTAGCTATCCAACTTTTCCATTATGATTGTTGAGTGGGGGGGAGGGTATTTAAAAAAACGTGATTTCCGGTGGAAATTAATATCCAATTCGCTCGAAACTCATCAAATACATAAGAAAACCTATTTTTAATATCGAAATAAAGACCGGTCACACCGGTCTTTATACTGTACTGTTAAAGCCAGTATATGTGTAAGTTTTGAAGTGGTGGAGATTCTTATGATAAGAATAGGGAACAAAACGTGAAACACGACTTAAAGAAGGGAAGAAAGGAAAGAGCAGGAGAGAGTATTAAATTAGTCGTCGCCTTTTTCCACTTCTAGGCGATAGGATATAATGAACAATGATGAATTTGGATATTTTTTTTTTATCTTCCATATAGATGAAAAAATATAAATAACAAAGAACCATAAATTAAATTCGTTCGACCAATAGTTGGAAACCTACATGCCAATCCACACCAAGCAGAAATGTGTCACGTTAACTGACTGGTGTGGACTATGTGATTAGTTTATCCTTTTCTCTAGCAATGTTGACATCTTTTATCAACATGGTGGCTGGAACAGCCATTTAGCTGCAAAAACAATTGGACAAGACTTGTTTTTGTTTTTTTGCTCTGTGAATCATTTAAAATAATGTGTGTTGATGTGACTGTTAAATTAATTGTTTGTTATTTCTATCTAAAATAACTACCATGTTACACTAACCTTTAATTATTGCAGTCGTCCATTGTTTCCGGTTATTTCAATCCACCCTCATGTTGTTCTTCATCTGTTGGAAACGTTATAAAAATATCAACTGGATCTGTTGTTTGTTTATGCACTCAACACAGCAATAATGAAAAACTATAGTTAGTATATGGAATGTGGAGGGGACACAAAGAAGCAGTCTCACACACACGTTCCTCCTCCCTCCATAGCCCACCATCAGCTGATCATGCTTAACACACTGACGTCATCACTGTCGTTTCATGATCTACCTAAATATTTATCTTTAGATGGATGTTATGAAGACATGTAGAGTAACGTAAATAATAATTAATACATGGAATGGTGCCTTCATATTAGATATTTTTATTTTTATTGTTAAACCCAAAGAAAGACCTAATCGTAACTTTATTTTAACAGCTTTCCTTCACTATTCGTGATTGAATTGTCTTAATTTTTAACAGTTTTTGTTTACCCACGCTGTCTATGTACATGATAAATCAAAGTGTACTTGTATGGCTGCCTTACTTAATAAATTACAGGTACCTGCACAGTAGTAGGCAGCTACCAAACATGGAGGTACTACCGCCTGGGAAGATATTAGAAGCATAATGTGTTGTCTAATGGTAGACCCTGCTGCAATATGGCATCACAAAAATTGTGACCAAATCCCAGGTTGCTGATCTGACTTTCTGCTTCATTTACACACAATTGCAGGGCTTCAATTGTTTCTCTTACTTTGACAATACTGTAGTGGATACCTCCCCTACAAACGCTGTTTGTCGCTGAGTAGCCGACCCCGCGAATTCCCGTGTATGCCTCGTGGTCTAGGTCAACCAGCGCCGCCTTACATGACGGAGGTCAACTATTAAGCCACGCCTACCTCCGCTATATAAGACCTGACCTCGTGGTGACCTACCCCTCTCTTACTACCTACAGCCAGTCTTCAAGTAACACCACCTCCTCCACTCCTGCCTGGCGGCCCTCGCTCCCGCCGGTGACTATGCCGTCCTTCAAGCTGCCTGTCCTCCTCTGAGCATCCTCACCAACCAGCTCTCTCTACTCAACGCTTGTAACCATGCTGCCTTCCCAGCACCAAGCTGCATTGTACATCCAACACAACATGTATACAGAGAGCACATTGTGAGTTTCCTTTCTCCATCCCATCCTGAGTGTGAACCAAACAACCCGTACCCCACAATACAACATACATAATGTTTATCATTTCTCATTCATGATGTATTTTTTTCGATTTTGTATTTATTTATGATTATGATTTTAATATTTTTTTTAGTATTTTGTTATTAATATTTATTATAATAATAATAGTTATTATTATTATTATTATTATTATCATTATTATTATTATTATATTTTCGCCCCCCAGGCCCTGGTGTGGGTCATTAACCTGTGCCTGGGTGGGCTTATCCCCGTAAAAAAAAGAAAATTAATCATATGATAAAAGGTATAATAAAGCAGTATCCCATTCCGTTTTCTTACACGTTTCTGAGCATGAGAAATAAACAACAAAGAAATTGTATGGTCCAATTTCTTATATTATATATATTTACATATGTAGAATATTACAAATAAAATATGTGTAATTATAAGTACAATTTAGTATAGGCTTTTATCTCTTTCCCGTTCTCTCACATCACCTTCTGTGTGTGGTAAACAACAAAGAATTTGAATGGTGGAGCTTTGGCTTCCTTCTCTTAGTAGCATTATAGGCCCAAATCAAACATTATTTTTCCCTTCTTGATATACATAAAGTATAATAATTTAACTATATATTGAATAATTTACTGTTTTAAAGATGATATAGCTTTGAAATATAATTAATTTCTGAACGTTAGATATGAACAACACATTCGAACTCCAAACAAGAACGATGTGTGTGGTCCGCTTCTCAGTCAAAAAGAAATCTGAGTCACGGATGTGGGTATTGACTATTTGGAGCTTGAGATGCGTTAACAACATGCTGAATTGATTAAGGTAATAGTATAACTTAATATAATACTTTAATTTATACCGAGAAGATTATAGAACAGGATGTATGGCTGAAATAACTAAGCTTGGTTAGGTCAGGAAACGGCTGAGTGATGAAACGGCGACCCTTGGAATTCTTATTCTTGAGGTCCGTTAGTTTAACTTATTGTGATTATTTGTAATTGATGAAAATGTTGAGGTTTTTAAATAGGGTAGTTTACAACCTACAGTTATGAAGTGAGATTACTGGCCATTAGCTTCACCTGCTCAAGCACAATGGATATACAGGTAAACTGTGACTATGTCGTTGATGCATAGCCAATAGGTAGCTAGGGATGAATAGTATCGTCTAATTAGCTGACCCACGGAACAGTTTGACACAATCATGGTTCAAAACAAACATGGTGAATATGAAAGGAATTAGAATTAGTCAATTTTTACGACTGTGGTATTCAGTGTGGTATCAGAAGAGACTCAAATTGGTCCCATCAAAACTGACACCTTTACCTTGGTCGTATCTCAGTTACCCAGTATTGTACAGTACGACTCCTGCCACAATCCCTCATCTACTTAACTATTCACCGACATTTTGTTGGTTAAAAAGAACCGTGTATTCTTTTAATAACTGATGCTAATTTATATATCATTTATATGCCTAGACTTACACAGGTACTACATGATGTTTAATAGACTGAGGGTGATCAGTAATGTTTCTATGTCCACCTGTTAAATGTCCCAGGCATGGAAACATAGAAGAGTGCTCATTTATTATGTATATACAGTAGTATATTATGTCGTCTCCTGAGAAACAGAAATAATGATCCAATGAAATATAATTGAGGTAAATTCTTCTTCTAAATTAGGGAATTTTTCATGTCCATTACTGTATGGATGGAATTTCTCCAACACATAATAAACTAATATTATATGTTTTAAAATATTTTTTAAGGAAACAATGGCTAAACAATAATCACAATTTTAATTGTACAATATATGCAATAAGAACGAGTTAAATCCAATTACAGTTTACAGTACTGTTCAGTATTCTACTTATGAGAAACTGTGGTGGTGGGTGTTGAAGGTGATAGTGTGGCAGAAGGAACATCTTCAGCCACATCATCACTATCACTATGGGGCTGATCATCTGGATCATCACTATCACTATGGGGCTGATCATCTGGATCATCACTATCGTGGATTTCCATAGGAGGAGGAGGAGTGTCGAGTTGACATCAGTTTACAAATGGCTGTGCCTTGAATTAGTGAAGTATGAAGTCAGGTTTGACTGCTTAGCACGCTGTTGGTTTTGTTTGAACAATTTCATATATTGATGTATTGTAAAAGGTGAGGGCATTTTCAATCTGCCTTTTATAGTTTAAGGCTTTGTTATTACAATCACCAACATTGTCTGGTGTAGCAGCACTATCAAAGACACTTTCCTCTGATGTTGGGCCAGTAGAGCAAGTGTCACAATTACTGCCACAGTCTTCTTGTAACTGTGCTAGAGGTTATGTGCTGTGTAAAGTGGCAGAAGCGAAGTAGAATCCAAAGAATCAGAGTCAGAATTTTCATAAATTTCTGATTCCTTTTACTATAAATGAAGTGGTAAGTCCTCAACAATTGTCTCTTTATCGTCATCACTCGGGCATACTGTATAGTGTACAATAGTCGTGTTTCCCAAATTAATATCCTTATATGTACACCTTATAATTTTTCTGAATATACACCACAAGCTCTTCAAAATGAAGCTACACACATCAAGGGTCATGACAACACTGTATATTCACTGCTGTATTGTACTCCACAGGATCATGGGTTTGCCTACAGTGAGTATTCTTATTCTCCTGAGTGCTGAGGTTGTACTCACTGAAGATAAGATATACACTAGTACGGCATCTCCTGCCCATTCCATTTCGCCACGTGCCACCACAACAGATGGTCCTAGACAGGCATGGGATGGAGCGGCACCATCCCCATCTGCTGCCAGAAATGCCCCACAAAATGTTAGTAATTCGGATGATGCTGTGAATCACATATTTCCAGTTGAGGCATTTGCATTTTCTCCAGATGGAAGTTTTACTGCCAGTTTTAATGAAAGCCAAAATGTAAGTACACTATTGTAGAATGAATTATTTCCAGTTTTTATTTTTCAAATTATGTTCCAGTTTTGGTTGCTGAGTTACTAATGTTTTGTGTATGTAAGAAGAGTGTGTGTGTGTGTGTGTGGAATAATGTAAATTGAAAAGTTTTGTAATGTGACTTTCTAATTATCTGTATGTTACAATTTATATTATTTATTTACCATTAAACTATTCCCTAAGAAGTATAATTTAGCTAAGGTTTTGTACAGTGTACACTTCTGTCCCTCAAATTGAGTTTTGTTTTGAAAGTGAACTGTACTGTATAGTTAAGAAGTTATTGCTAACTTCATGATAGTTCAACTGAAGGTTCATCACACACAGTGGAGTAGAGTCTGGACAAACAAATGCCACACTTACTTAATGAATGGTGTACAGTAGAGTAATCTTATACAATACTGTGTATTAAAATCTATTTAAAAGATTATTATATATCATTAAAAAACTAGTACAATAATTCTTAACTTAACACAGTAGGTTTGCTCATAACACTGAACTCCTGTGTTTGGCTGTTGGTCATGCCCTCACTCCTCCTTATAAAACACTGGTACACCATTCGGATGTTTTTCGTAAGAATGTGAATTCTACAAGGTTTCAGTTTTTTGTCGTGTTGAAATTACATTCACTAACAGACAAACTTTGTGTATCTCAAGGTTGACCAGTGTCACCGGACTGCTCAGTGCGAAGTCTTGGAGGAAACCACATGTCTGGGAGTACAGCTGCCATACACACACACGTCCCTGGCACTCACTGGCTTATCAAACCAACGTCTTGCCAGGGTAAGAATGGTATCTCATGATACCTGGTGATGATGCCCTTCATATGACCATTTTTCATGTACTATACAGAGAGTAGTTTGTATCTACTGTACTGTATCTACATTATATATTTCATTAAATTTGTGATTTTATTTTTATTGCCCCACGTCACTTCAGGTAGGCGATATGGATATAAAATTAAGGTAAATATACTTTTTCACTCTTTCATGTCTTTCCCTGATGTAATGCAGATGTACACATATATACATACACAATCTGCTTTACTCCTTTCTTTCTGTGTGTGTGAACTGTACACGTTTTTCTCACTAATATTTGGAATGGTATATGTGTCCATTGTAGGAGCAGTTGGAGTTGTGGTCATCACTACGTAATATTCCTCGATGCTGGGCTGTAGTACAACCATTACTCTGTGCCATCTTTTTCCCACGCTGTGATAATAATTCACTGGAGTTGCCTTCACAGGTGAGTCTCATAGTCTGATATCAATAATTTTATTATGAGAGCAAAATACAAGGAGATCATGAAATTTTAAGCAAGAAATAACAATACAGTTGTAACATTACAGTCCTTTACCAATAAGATGTAAGTGTTGCAGTGGCATGATAGGGGTGGTGGGAAAGGTTGAAAGTCAAGGGTGAGATAAAAATGAAGTTGGTAAGTTAAAACTTAGTGTAGATGAATAAGACATTCAATACTGTAGATACAAAGAAATATGAATTTTAAGTTAAAATTTGGTGTGGTTTTAGATTGGCTGCTTTACTTTGACATTGCAGATAACTTTGGAGTTATAGCATCAGAAATATGCACCCTAAAATAATTGGAAGAGTAATGTGTTGGACTTTGTCTTCTTTTAACATGATTCTCCTCACAGGAGATGTGTGTCATCACTCGAGGTCCCTGTCGACTAGTGGAATATGAGCGAGGGTGGCCGGAGTTTCTCGTGTGTCGTAGGGACTATTCACATAAATGTAAAGTAAGTTTGTGTCCTGAGAAAATTTTTGTCTTAATTTTTAGTTTGTTTCTGGTAGTGAATCTTGTCATTACTGTATATCATTATTCTGTTATGCAGTACTTTTATCACTTATGGGTTGTACTGTGTATACAGTACATGAAAAGGATAATATATATATATATATATATATATAATAATAACTTTACTATACCTTTTCTTCATACCTCCATAAAGAGTTTTTTAAAAGACTCAAGTTAAATGATAAGATTATGAAAATATTGTATGCACTATAAATAAATTAATTTCTCTACTACTCATTGAAACATTATTGCATAAAAAATCTCAACAAGAAAGTTGGCAACTGTTACTAACACTAAGGAGGGTTAGCTTATATGGAATGTATTAATGAATTATAACAATAATTTCAGAACAGTGTGAGAGAACTGAAATTTAACACAACAGGACAATGTGCTCCACCACTAGTGGCCACAGAGGAGGAATCCTCTTGGTATGAGGGAGTGAAGGGCTGTGGTGTCCAGTGTGCCAATCCAATATTCACAGCTGAGGAACATGAAGATCTTCACCACTTTGTGGCTACGCTTGGAGGAGTCTGCCTGGCATTAACAGCTCTCACAGTAGTTAGTTTATATTGATTTCTTTTTCAACTGAGTTAGACTTCTTTAACAAGAAATATACAGGGTGATCAAAAAGTTGCAGTACACTGTACACTGAAAGAAATTATACCATTTGGTCATTTTGAGCATTTATTATAAGTTCTATGTTATACTGTACTTGATATAGGAATTAAAAACTAATACAAAATGAAAGCTTGGTGCACTGCAACTTCATTATTTTAGTCTTGCAAATGTTTTTCTGCTACAAGGTGACCTTCATCCAGTCACTCATTATTGTCACGTCCCCACAATCTACTGTGTATCTTGGCGTTCCTGTCATTCATGATCTTCATTTCTGGTTCATCCTTCACTTCATGTTTCCATCTCCTTCTTGGTCTTCCCTTCTCCCTTCTATGATCTATTTCTGAATTTTATGCTTTATACCGACATTTCACTTTTCAAAGTTTACCTTAAGAGTATGGATCAAGTAACTTGAACCCTCCTTGGGAATTGAAGTTCATTTGAACCTTGGGCTTGTTTTTTGACTACTTTGGTTGTGAGATGCCTGCACAATGTTGTGGTGACAAAGATTCACAGTTCTTGCCAATGGCTTGCTGGCTCATGAGTGATACCCCAAAATTATAGTAGCTTCTGTTGAACTAGGAGAGATCATATCTCAGGTTTTCTAGATTAATGGTTTCTGAAGTGTAGTCAAGTCACACAAGTGGAGAAGGATCCTGGAATCCCCGACGATAAGCCCACAAGCTTGTTGGTGCAATACATGATTTGCCTGATGGGTGTTTTTTATATACGGTATATAGGTATCTGTATCCCCTGATTTACGTTGGGGTTATGTTCCTGAAAAACTCATCGCAAATTGAAATATCATAAATGGGGAGCATTATGACATGGGGTTCAATGTCCGACACCCACATGTATCACTGAAAAAAATTAAAATCCTACACTAATAAAATAACTAAAACACAATTAAACAATACTCACCACCCCATCATTAAGAACAAGTGTGGCCATCATCACATGACCCCTTTGAGGCTAAGAGGACACTTGAAGGTGGAGTGGAGACATCACTGACTCCCACACAGCTTCACAATGTCCCAGACGCAGGAGCCTCGGCAACGTGCTTGCTAGACATATTAAAAGTTACACTGATTACTTCAGTCACAAAGACATAGTGAAAGCACTTATCACAAAAACTATGCAAAAGTACTTGTCAATCACAAAATTGAATATAATCTGAATGTTATTGATGTCCTCTCACTGTAATGGAAAAAATCACTGATGATAATGTAAAAACAATGATAGCGGCTGACACTGCTCACATCATGTTTACAACAGAGGCAAAGCAATTTACAGTCACAAAATTAACAAAAATTACTTCACAGTCATCAAAACAGAGTACAGTACAATACAGTAGACATTAGTGATGTCCTCTCACTAAGTAAGGAAAAAAAAAATAATATATATATATATATATATATATATATATATATATATATATATATATATATATATATATATATATATATATATATATATATATATATTTCATGTAAATCCACAATGAAAACGTGGATAAGATAAATCTTGATAAAATCACACGGAAAATGGAAACAACGGAGTACCTTAGCTTCGTCTTTATTCAAGACACACACACACACACACACACACAGTCAACCCTCACTTTACGCGGTTAATGTAACCCACAGGGTGCCGCGTAAAGTGAATAACATAACATATGGGATTAATTGAAATAGAGTCCGCGCCGACTCCCAAACTCCACTTTTTGACGACACACAACTATGTTGTAGTAAAAATATTATCTTAACTTTATGATGGTATGCACACACAATTAATAATTAGGAGAAATATCAATAATATTAGGTTTTTTAACACTTACATTAGTAGAAAAAATGGCTGGGCACACGGGGATGGGGGGTTGGTTCCGAGGCAGAGGGCAGATTATTGGCCCTCACCTGTGTCACTTGTATCAATTGTATCACTATCCACCACAGAGGCTTGCAGGGTCTCTTTGTCAAACCCCTCAAAGTCCATATCCTCACTATAATTATCACTATCACTGACTTGGGCCGGCTGTGGTGGGTGGCGGGTGAAGAACTCGGTAATGTTTTGATGACTGGGCGACCTTGTGCGCACCCTGCTCGCGCCGCTTACACAACATGGCGGATGGCGGGGGGTTTGGATCCAAAAATGGCGCGGCTCGCCAGCCGCTCTCCGCGTAAAGGGGTGCACGCACCGCGGAATGTGAGCATTCCGGTTTCGGCAGGGTACCGCGTAAACGTGGAAACGCGGAATGTGGGACCGCGTAAAGCGAGGGTTGACTGTATATATATATATATGTATATAAGTGACAACACCGATACTCGTTGAGCTACACAATCACCTTGGAACAGACGTGAGACTGAAGTACACTGGGTGGCTGCGTGGCGGTGCGTGGGTAGATGACACTGGCTGACAGGTGCAGTGAGAGATGCACTCCATATTCTGCACATCATTGATTTTGGCCGGACGATGACCATCGTTCATGCAAATTTTTTTTATTGTAAATAGGGAGGTGGTTTTAATACATCACCATTGTTCAAACGAAATATCGTAAATGGGGAGATCAGAAATCAGAGGATGCCTGTAAGTGGGATTTCAGGATGAAACCCTCATTTCCTTAAAATTTACAAATATCATAGAGATTACTTGTAAACGCCTTGGTTAAGGACGTTCAGGTGACGGGCAAGTCGAAGGGAATGATTGAAACCCGCCATTTGGCACATTCAGTATTTATTGATGTGGTCAAAACCTGCAGAGATGTTCATAATATTACATGGTGATTCATCTGATACATAATTAGTTAGTCTCACACAATTTTATCTTAATTACAATTTATTAAACATAGTGACATAACACAAAGTTCATGACTATTAATCTTAGCTTTGCTTCATTCTGCATTGTCTTATTACTCCAGGTTAGGCAGAAACGAGTAGGCGTAATGAGTCAACAATATTTCAGTACCGAGGGGTATGTCATCACTTAGGCTGCACTTACAAGTGCGGGTCAATGCAGATCAGTATGGTGTTCCAAGAGACAACAGTTCTGCATAAATTGTCTCGGCACAAATTCTCGAACAGGATTATGAGTCGGTGTTCACCAGTGCGAGCAGAAGGCTGGTCTTCACAGCATCATTAGAGAGGGCGATCTGTCTCCTGGCGGGGCGGGCAGCACCGCCACCAGTCGAAGACAGTTCACTCAGCAGAACCAGGACTTGTCTGTAAACACTTCTACATCTGGCGAGGTCACGGGTCGAAAGATTTAATGGCATCACACTCCAGCACTGTAGTTGAAACCAGCGGCGATAACATTACTAATCTTGAGTGTCCACGGGTTACAAACGGGTTCCATTCCTGAGGACGTTCTTAAGTCGAATTTGTACGTAAGTCGGAACACATGCTATGTGTATACCATACAGAACAATGTTTAAAATCCCACTATATCATAGCCTAAGTCCTTACATACATCTAAAATCACTTAAATTAAGACAAAAGAAATTAAATGGCAAAATACAGTCAATGAAAGTAAAAAATAAGTCATTAGGTAAATAAAATACACTGTAAATTTCTTGTTTAACCCCATTCGTATCGGCGGGCATTCGTAATTCAGTGACCCCTGTACTGTATTTATAATTTTTTTCATTATAGTATACTGTACTAAATTTATAGACCATATTATATTATACAGTATAACATATTAAATTTCTGGAGCACATAACTGATCTTGTACTGTTTCCTCAGCTGACGTACTTGATAGACTGGCGTGCTGCAAATAAGTATCCAGTGCTGATTATTTTCTACATCAATGGCTGTTTCTTAATTGCAAGCATTGGTTTCATCGTTCAATTTCACCCAGGAGTTCGTAATGACCTCACCTGTCGATCAGATGGAACTCTGCGTCAAGGTGAACCCAGGTAAGAATTAAACTTGCTGATATTTTCTGCCACCGTGCTTTCCTAGTTGATACACATACAAGAATTATAGTCATATGAAAAGTTGATGTTCCGTAAGAATCTCGATTGAAACTGTTGGTTTATTAAAAATATTGAATACAGTATTAAGTTTGTTTTTTTTTCTTCTTACCTAAACTGTAGGAGATATAGAGATCACTGTGCTTGTATATGTGTGTACTGTATATCTCCTTTGTCCATGCTAATAGAAGGATGAACATTATTCTCTACATTCATTCATGGTTAAGTCCCTCTGAACTTGGGGCTGCATGAATATACAACTCATAAGTTACACAGCTTGAAGTGTGAAGAAAAGTGAGGTGTTTAATCTTATATCAGGGGAAGGGAGGAGGAGGAGGATTTGTGGTTATTGTGACTGCTCTTGTTATGAATCTAAATTAAAAAGTAATGCAGTATGCTGAATAGAGTAATGTAGCTCTCATTTCTATATTTACAGTTTATTATTTCTCCATGTTTTTGACAAATTTGATTGTGGTTATTTCGTTTAAATTGGAGACTGAACCTTGGTTATAAATTATCATCAAAGAAGAAAGTATTATTATAAAAAAAATGTATCAAGCTCTCAAATGAAAAATTGTAAGAGAAAATCCTTTGTAATCTCGGCTAGCACCAGTTATCCTTGTTCTGCCGTTGAGCTGTACTAATAAGTCACTTGTGGAGACTCAACAAGACTGTGGATGAGTTCAATAATAAAGGGTTACATCTTTATTCTTAGGTGTTTAGGGACCTGGATTTATTGTTCCATTATGGGTTGGTATTCCAGGAGCAAAGTTTTTTCATTGGTGTATTCAGGCAGCCCCAATTGGATACACAGAGGTGATTATCTCTAAGCAGAATGGAAATATGGAAATATTGTAACTGCTCCCCCCCAATATCAGAATGAGTGTTTATCTATTCCTTCTTGTGTCAACATACCACATTCATTCCTCCTTCATCTGCAATGAAGAAACATACTGTATTGTTATCTTATGTGTTATTGACATCCTGAGTTTTATATTAAGGTATTAGACTTAGTTCTGGTTATGTATTAACATAAACGAAATAAAAGATCATATTGTGTTAAGCTTTGCTTATTCCTTCTCCACAGCTCTGGTGGGAACCTGTCATGTGTAGTGGTGTTTGTGTGCATCTATTATTTCATGGTGGCTGGTGGCTTATGGCTTATCATCCTAGCATACTCCCTCCACACCAGCTTCAAGTCTTATGGTGAGAACATGAAGAATCTTAGATGTACTAAGATGTATCAAACCTTATATTATAAACAGTCACACGAGAATGTTCCTAGATACCATCCTCCACTAGTCAGCTCCTGTAATGCTGTACAGACACATTTTAGGAGGTATTATTTCACATGGATTTAACCTCCTATGATGTTGTCTTGGTTTACCTCTTCACTACAGGGATGCCACTTTTAATATTGTATTTGTCTAATGCCAGATGATTTTCATACACAAAGGGTTAACCTGTTAAATGTTGTTAACATGTTTAACCTTAACCTTCACCCTTAATGGCTGGCCTTAAATGCAAAAGTCAAATTCAGTAGTTTCCTGGAGGTTGAAGGTCTCAGTGAGGTGTGGGCTGCCCAGACTGCACATAACAGTTACAGTACAGTACTTAGCAACTGCCTCATCACCTATGGATTATTATCTTACATTTATCACTTTATGTGTGTACATTACTTTACCAGTTCTTCTGAGGCCATGTAGGCAGCCTGGGTGGTGGGCCAGTATGAGCACCAGTTATTGTGATCATTATCATCACAGATACTGTATCTCAATCCATAGTTTTGTGCTCAGTCCTTAGTTTTGTGGTGTTATGGTTTCAGCATTTGCTGCTAAATTATGTAATGTAAAAAAAATTTTTGTTATTTGTAGCACCTTTTTGTGACATTTGTTCTTCAAAATCCTATCAACCATGTTTTACAGCAGCAGGGCTGTGTGGTGACGAATTAGAACGACGAGCAGCGTACTTTCACCTCGTGTCTTGGTCTTTGCCTCTTGTCCTGACCATTACCATCATGGCTCTGGCTGAAGTTGAGGCAGATTCTGTTGCAGGAGTCTGCTTTTTATCCTCAGCCATTCACATACGAATAGGATTTCTTCTGTTGCCCATAATTATCATTGTTCTTATTGGTGGATTCTTCCTTGTACGGGGTAAGTAAAATATTGTATGTATATTTGATTTATTTTGTCCATGCATGTGATAGAAAAGTATATTGAAGACATATTGCATGATCCATGATAATTGACTTTTATATAAATGAAAATTCACTTTCTTGTGTTGCTAGTCTGTGTGGCCCATTAGGGACAATGCAGATTTGGCAGTCTAATTTTTTTTTTTTTTATATATTGGGCACCCCCTTCCCACATCCTTGTGTAAGGTGAAGCGCAGAAGTTTTTACAGCGCCCAACAGGGAAGCATGCTAAGTTCATACTTGCCTTTATGTCTCATGAGTTAAGGGCGTAGAAGCCTGAAGAGTCAAGGGCGTAGAAGCCTAAAGAGTCAATGGTTTATGTCTAAGCAAGTTATTGGAAGTTCCAACAACTTGTCCCTGAATACGAATGTGCAACTTTCGATTTACAGCAGGTACCTACATTGCTGCTAGGTGAACAGCGACCAAGGGAGGCTGGGAAGTGTGTCCAAACAACTTTCCACCGGCCCGGGAATCGAACCCGTGACATCTCGCTTGCGAGGCAAGAGCGGTACCGTTCTACCAACCGGCGCCCCTAGCAGTCTAATTATTAAGACATTAGTTTGTGCAAAGGGAGGTAGCATGCTTGGCACCTCACATAACTGTCTTCACTTGCCCAATTGTATACTGTACAGTAGTCTGGTACTCACTTACAGACAAGTGGCTTGGGGTGCCCCAGATGCACCCTTAGGCCTGGAGGGAAGTGCTCTATCCACTCAGCCACCACACCCATGGCTAAGGACATAAATTGCCCAACTTGGCAGTCTGCATTATGAGAAGCAGCTTGGCTTGAAGCTTTTTTATTAAAATGGACTTCAGGATCAGTCCTTCGTTTATTACGGTACTCCCTGAAGTTGATATAAATCTATTTATTTTCTTGCAGGAATGATAAAATTAATATACCTCAAGATGGATTGTTTCAATATAATCAGTGACAGTGCTAACAGCAAGATAGTGGAAACCATCATTAGACTTGCCATCATCACCATCACATTAGTAACCTTCACAGGTATCACCATCTACTGTCACATCTACCAGTACAGGAACCAGCACCTTTGGGACAAGGCGCTACGTGACTATATTATGTAAGTCTACTTTCTTTTGTTTTGTATCAGTAGAGCCTCCTAATGTCATCAGATCTACTTATTTGTTACTCAAACACAGAGACTTGTCACTGTTCAACAAAACTATATTTGATATAATTTCCTGTGTTTTTTGTGTCTCTATCTTGTAAATTTTGAAATATTGGTAAACAGGTGTGTGTCAAACATGACAGCAGCTGCCCAGTTCAGCAGCAGGTCATCAGTTTGCACCATAGCAGAGCGTCCAAGTATCAATATCTATAAACTTCACTTGCTGGCTCTTTTTGGTGCTGGCATCATTATGTCTTCATGGTGCTGGACTCCCAACACCCTACAAGCCTGGAAGCGTTTTCTCAGGAGGTAAGTTATTTAGTATCTGTGTATTTAAGTTTCAGTAAAATGTCATTTTTAATCAGACTATAACACAGTTAAACTTTAAATGACTTTTATGCATACGTATACAGTAATTCAATTTTGAGTTGTGTTTTTTTACTTAATGACTTATAAAAGGCAAACAATACCTAAAGTGTAGTATTGTGGAGTTTAAAGACCACACTCAACTGGCAAGTTTGTCATAGAAAGAGAACCAATGGAGTTGGAGTACCGTACAGCATAAGTAAAAGTAAAGTCTGATGACCTAGTAGGGACAGTATGAATACAGTACGCTGTATACTAAGCCTTCGGTACACAAGGAGTTAATGTGGCAGGCACTGCACTTCACTGCCTTTGTATCCAACTTTAAAGTTAGGTACATATTTACAAATGGATGGACTGGGGGTTCCCCTGGATTGAACTAGGAGTAAGACAGGAGGCAAGTGCTGTATATCTTCTTCATTTATGGCCAGTGCGATGAGGAGATTAACAAATCAACCCTGATTGAAATTATGGGAGGTTTTCCGAGTACATAGACTCCTGGCCAGCAGCCCTGTATTATGACAGTCTCGTGATTCTGGGTTCTGCTAGAAAATTAAATCTAGGATTAATCCTCAAATTCATAAGAAAATTGTACTATGTACCCATAAATATAGCTGTTGTTTACCTTAGAAATTTGAACAAAGAATTGCTTCATGGTTTCAAGGGTAGGAGGTTGTGACTGTTCAGAAAACTGGAATACTTTTAAAGCTGGCCTTCTCTTAGTCCCAACATTCCTAGATTTCTGAGGTCATAATGTACAGTACATCATAATAAAATGTTTTCTTATAATTTTCAAAATACCTGTATGTATTAAGGGAATTTTACCTCAAATCAATTAAAAAATCATTACTAATGCCAGCTACAAACTTCCATAGGGTGGTCTGTGCCATGTCCCTCTTAAAAACGTTTTGTTAAAGCCAGTAACAGCTTTTTCAGTTACGACACATAAAGACATTCAAATGATTTGTAGTCCATATTTTTACTCTTAGTCATTCGTTTTTATAGATCTATATAATCATTGACCTTGCTGAGTCATTCAATACTTGTTTTATCTCTGATCTCCAATAGTATACTGTACCTGTATACAAATTACATGTATTTCTCAGAGTTGCAGGAGTTCCAACAGAGGAACCTCTACGCCTAGCTCGGCACAGAGTAATAGCTCAGGCCTTTGCCAAACGCCACGACCTCAACACTGCTGGTCGACTCTCAATCAGTCTACACTCCATACATGATGATCCTCTTGGTAAATATAATCACTTCATTTGCGTATTTGCATTTCCCATTACCTGGCTATTTCCCTTCAGCCTGTGTCTTGTACTACAGGGGGATTTACTAGGGGTTCCACATATCCATTGTACAAGCCCCTCCAGTGTCAGCCTGAGTTATTCTTCTGTTTGACTCTTCCTTGTCTGGTTTTATCTACAAAAGCCAAATGTCAGCTCCATTTCTGATAATCAAGGATTTGATAGCTACATACACATATTTATAGCCTGTTTACTCAAAGCTTGCAACTGAGGCCAAGGGTCAGTTTGTAGCAAGGCAGCTGACTGGTTGATGGATGGACACCTGAAGAATAGCAACAGTTCTTCAGTATTTAATCTATTGTATTTATATTCTGATATTTTAAGGGATAATAACTTTTCTATGTTGATATCTGATCATTTCTGCACTTGGAGAGGTAAAAATTACCTTGTGAAATGCACTGGTAATAAGAATATAATAAAGAGAACACGAACATGATACACAAATCCTGGGATGTTAAACTCACAGTTGTTCTTGATGAAACTAAAACTCTCACAGGTGTCACCAAATGTCACCATACATCATCTTATGTCACAGATTTCAGTAGCCAGTGAGATACAGTTAAAGTTATTGGCTATACCTGTACTGTATGAAGTTACTTAATGCCAACTTTTACAAAACATGATTTCAGAAATAGTTTTTCCTTTTCTAATATTACCAAAATTACCGTGTATGGTTTAAACCTTTGCTTTATATTTTATGTATGTTATCTTTATATGAACTTACCTTTTAGGGTTAAACTTTGACATGAATAGTGCAACCTCTGGGGATCTGTCCTCTGCGTGGGCCACTGCCATCCCTCACCTCATGACAAGACGTGGGGCTCTTGTAGGCTCGGCTGCCCTGGGGTTAAGAAGAAATTCTGTTGATTCAGAATATAGTGTAAGCAGAAGGTGAGTTCAAGTATAAATGTTTGTGGTAGGTCAATATTTCCTGATGTTGTATCAGGAGAACTATGATGATATTTGTTGGTACTGTATATGAGTGTACAGTTTAGTACAAAAGAGGTTATCTGTGGTGATACTGCATCTGTTAAGGAATAGAATAATGCCACTGGCAGTTTTTAGGACTTTCCATATTGAAAAACTAGCATTAAGTTTTCCTTAATAACACTCTTTGTCATGAAATCTAAGTGTTCATTAATATTCTATCATAAATATAAACATTGATTATTTTCTAACCAAACAATTACTTTGAAAATTGACATCGAATGAAATTGGTTTTAGCTTAAAATTAGAGTAAAAAAGTGTCTTATATTGTTTTGGTTATTAAATTTAGGATAACAATAATTAAATATTAGCTTCAACCTCTTTCACCTGATGATTAGACACTGTTGTTGACACTATAATGCTAGCTGGGGCAGTTGGTGTTAGTTTTAGGTTAGTGTTAGTTTATGCTTGGCTAGTGGTAAGTTATGTTAGGTTAAGATGGGCTAGTGCAAAGTTGTATTAGGTTAGCATTAGTAAATTAGATCAGAAATTAATGGTGTTCATGTGCATATGTCATTAGATTCTACAAAGGAATTTCCAGCAATAGTGATGAATATGAGAGTAAAGAAAGTTAGATATGACTTTGAGGCAGTAAAGTATTAGCAGATAATACAGTATTTAAAAGGTGGTGATAGAGTAGAGAACAAAGCCTCACATGAGAATCAACTTAGTGAACAAGATGGGTAGATGTAATGAATGTAATGTGCAGACAAGTCACTTTATTATGCTTGACTTTAGTTGAGCTCATGAATGGAATAACTTCAACTACAATTAATTTTTTTCAGTATAGGTACAGTAATTTATTTTGTATTGATTCAATGTTTTCTTTTTTATATTTAGGTTTTGTACACTTGTTCCTTTCCACATAGATGGGAAGTATATGCTCTTCAGTAATTATGCAAATTTAATCATTAACAAGAATTTTTTATGATCTTCTCTTTACACAGATTTTCCATAGAATCTGGGTACAACAACCGCAGTTCACGACGTCATTCTCTAGACTCACAGATGTCGTTTCATGTGTCTGATGCCGAAAGGTTGGCAGCATTACACACGGCTGCCAGGTTTGGCCGTCGAAAGAGGCGCGATTGGTTTAGTCTTAAGCGAGGCCGGCGAGTTAATGCTTGGGACAGACGGGGATCCAATACCTCTGATGATAGTAATCTTGGCTCAATGGTTAGTAATTTTTGCAGGGGCTTATTTTTTCTCAGCTGAGAAAAGATGCCCCGCCCCCTCCCCAAGAGTTACAGCTGATTGGCTGTTGCAAACCTGTCTGATTTTGTCCTGAAGTAATGATGTATTTCTAAATGAGTTTATTTTATTCATAATCGTTAGGGTGACCGTTTCTGACGAGAAAGATATTTAGCTAAATTATATAAGGATACAGTACATACATTCATTATTTCAAACATAAGCACGTAGGAAGTTTATCAGAAGTATTATGCATGAATTAACTGTTAAACTCTGGTAGCAAATTCATGATTTTGAAAGATGCATTTAATATACTGTATACTTATTTTTACCCACAATAAGGCCTACTAAGACAAATTACGTATCAGTAATACTATATTATGCAAAAACAACATTTTAAAAGATCAGAATTACATTGAAATATTACACGACCTTTAGTAGAGGCAGGAAATATGACTGCAAACAACTTCATATTTTTCCTGCCTCTACTAACGGTCTTGTAATATTTCAATGTGATTCTGATCTTTTAAAATGTTGTTTGAAATAATGAATGTATGTATCTTTATATAATTTAGCTAAATATCTTTCTCATCAGAAACGGTCATCCCAATGATTATGAATAAAATAAACTCATTTAGAAATACATCATTACTTCAGAAAAAATCAGACAGGTTTGCAACAGCCAATCAGCTGTAACTTTTGGGGAGGGGGCGGGGCATCTTTTCTCAGTTGAGAAAAAACTCACTATAATAACAATACTTTTTTTTTAATAACTGTTACTCTAATAGTTATACTGTTTAAAATGTTCTTCTTTTTGTTGGGCTATTAAGCATTTCTATATGCCGAGCACTAGTGATTTTTTTTTCATATTACAAAGTACTTCCATGTTTGAGACATAAAACACCAAGACTTATAATTTCAGTGATTTCTATTTCTTTCCTTAAACTCCTAGATATACCCTTCAGTATTTGTCAGCTTGTAGATACCATCCATCTTCTACAATGTTCTTGTCCTGGTATAAGCAAGTGGTAACTCTCGCTAATGTGTAGTACTATACAGTACTTCTTGATGGCCTGGCTGAAATGTTTGGAACAATTCTACCCTGAAGGAAGAACAAGGCATCAAGGATTATTGGTACAGTATTTTGATATCCACATAGTAAAACAGTATTGCCTTTGATGCCTGTGGAAAGAGTGTTGCAGTAGACAAGAATGTCCTTCCTTTCCCTCATTGGAAATTCTTATTTCTGGACTCATTCACTGTACATAACTGTGTAGTCTTGCATGACTTTCAAGAGCACTGTATAACAAAATTAAATATGACTTATCTATTGTTTTGCCAACAGATCCTGCCTGCTATTACAATGAACCAAGATACATTATTCACGAACATGATGAAACGTCTTAACTTGAGTTCTGACGAGCCAACCCGTTCTGAGAGAGCTGCACCATCAGCCCCACCAGCCAAGTCCATGAACCTCAATGTTACTCTTCCTGGTCAGACTACACTGGAGAGTGAGGATGACGTGGGAACAGAAAATCATGGGTATGCTGATAATGACTCAATTGCTCACACTGTCTTGAATAATGTTCTAAAGAGTGCAGATCTGAAGAGGCAGGAGGATAACTATGTTAGGGCAGTAACAGCACTTGAAGATGGTTTGTTATCATCCGGTCAAATACGTGCCTGTAGCAGACGAGGGAATGTTGATGTTGGTTCACACATAACCAGCATGAGTGTAGGTGTTCAAGCATCCTTGGCAAATGACAGTATAAAAGCTGTCATGGTGGATAAATCTGTCCAAGTATCAACACCACTACTAATGAGGGCCAGTCAGGTGTCTCGAGTGCATTCTCCACTCGCCAGTGACAGCAGTCCCACTCATACCTATAGAGCCCAAGAAAACAAAAAGAAAATAAATGAAACAAGCTTCTCCAATCGAAGGAAGCTTTTGAATAATGACCGACCAGGTACACCAGTTACTAGGTTGCCAAAGAAGATTAATGTCAGTGGAGATAAAACACTTACAAACAATAAAAATGTCAGCTCCAGTCATGGGTCACATAAACGTAATGGTGGCAGCAAGACAGTAAATAGTGGAGGACGGAGAAGAAAAAGTAAAGGAGAGTGTGCTGAAGTTATGACTGTTTTAGATATTGGAGATGAGAGTGATTGAGCAATACAAATAGAATGTAAGAAAAGTTGAGTGAATGTATGTTTGTACACTGACCAAATAGAATTGATATATTTTTAAAAAGGTATTAAAACAATTTAAAAAATACTTCTCTTTCTTACCGATTAATAAGAGAATGAGAATGGTAGTAATTATGGAATTGTATTTTTCTATTTTTTTAAATTTGGATTTCTCAGGTAGCATTTAACCATTATGAATGTTTTATTTGTTTCAGGTCTATAGTCTTCCAGGATCAGAATTACCTCTGTTTGATGATTGATGTGAGGATAGTTTTACAGTTAACGATTATTTACATGTAATTCTTGTATTTTATAGTGTGTGTGTGTGTTAACTCTTTTATTAAACATGTCATTGGAAAAGAAATAATACTTTGATATACATATAAGTAGTATTGTTATTGGCAGAATTTTATGTTTTTTATGTATGGATGTGTATTATGTGCCAATTTTTTTATAAAAACGAGTCGGCCTTTTACCCAGTGCAGGAGGATGCCTTATCTTATGACAATGCCCATGTGTAAACTTGTGTTCCTACACAGTAAAAGTCTGCCCAATATGAGAGGATGCATGTTTCATACGACATTATTTATGTCAAAATGAATCCCCTCCTAGTGCATACATTTTATATTGGCCATGAGGCCACGTACACACACTTCATACAGTCAAAGACTATCACATAATTAGGCATGGAAAGGTCACAAATAACTCAGGAAAATTGGAGGAAAACTTTCTGTTTTAAGGATGAATTAATATCGGCTTTCATCAGCTAGATAAAGTATTCTTAGAGTTATGTCAATCCTACTTGATTTGTGGAGACTTAAGGGGTCACCAAAATATGTTTGCTTTAGTGGGACCAAAACACTGCTGAGAAAAGTAAAATAATTGCATGTTGCTTCAGTGAGATCTGGTGTGTGTGAATACTGTACTTGTATATAACAACTTGCTAGTGAGAGGTATTAGAGAAGGTACAAGAGGACTCTAGTGATAGGTGTGTTATATGTACTGTACATAGAAAATAGTATTAAACATCACAAGCCTTACATTTAGAACTTCTTCAAGAGCCAAAAGTGGCTGGTGAAAGTTTAGGAGTGGCTGCCCTTATTGATGGCAAGAGAACCTTCCCACATGAAAGAAAGGATGTGCAGTATGCATGAGATGTGTGATGTTGTATGGCAGTGAAACATGGACAGTTAACCCTTAAGCCTCGGGTTAGGGTGCCGCTGGCAGTACTCCCCACGTTGGGGTAAATCGAGAAAAATATAAACTTTTCCAAAAATAATTTTTAACCTTTTTAAATGATAAAAGCAAAAACTAAAATAACTAAGAAAAACTCTATATTGACCCTCTAGAAACTTCCCTGGCAGTGCTGAGGGATATAAGAGGACAATGTTGTTTTGACAGCTGAGCTCGTGGTCACCTACGCACTTACCAGCTATTTTTAGCTTGCCTTTGTGTCCGAGATGGCCAATAATGCATATATTTACTGATCATAATACTTATTTGCTATAAATAATTAATTTAGAATATTTTATTTGCATTATTTTTCATAAAAAGTGCTTGGGAACACACACACTTAGTCTGGCTGTCTTTGTGTTTGGTAGAGCAAGTAATAAATAAAATAATAATAATTCCACAAATAAAACATTTATAAAATAATCTTAGCATTATTTTCCAGTAATACTACACCATAATACAACTACAGTATAGCCTGGGTTTATGCGGTTAATTAAACCCATGGAGGTCCGAGTATAAAGCGAAACGCGTAAATAAAATAACAGAACATATGGGATTAATTGAAATACCGTAGAGACTGGGCCGACCGCCAGACTACCCTTAATTTTATGATGGTATGCACACACAATTAATATATTAGAGAAATATCAATAATATTAGGTGTTTTAACACTTATTGGCCCTCACCTGTATCTCTATCCACCACAGAGGCTAGCAGGGCCTCCTCATCAAACCCCTCGAAGTCCATATTCTCACTATCACTGACTTGGGCTGGCTGTGGTGGGTGGCGGGTGTAGAACTCGGTGATGCTTTGTTGACGGCTAGCATTGATGCGGTCGTGATACTGCTGAAAATAGGGTTCCAGGAATTACAATAGAAGAATATTAGACACTTCGTAGCGATGACTGCCTGTCTCTTTGGCAAGGATGAACTTCATTCTTTCGGCTAACTCAATGACCTCCTTCACATCAGCATGTGTTAGTTTCTGCTCTTGTTGTTCTGTAACACCTCACTGCTCACTGACGTCATCATCTTCCAACATCTCGTCCGCAGTCACCTCAGGTTGCCTGATTACCTCCACGATGTCCTCGTTGGTGGTCTCGGAGAAGCCTGCAGCTCTAACACTTTGTGCAGCCTCTCTTGCATTCTCCAATGCCACAGCAACAGACTGAGCCTCGCCAGCCACCTGGAATACCCTCCAACACAGTACACGAGTGAATATACGCGGGGACAGTGAGACTGGCGCGGCCAAGGTCATCAGGCCTGGTGGCAGGGCAAGCAAGGTTAAATAGACCAATCACAGTGCTCGGCGGAGGGGGTGCGTGGGTGGTAAGGATACGTGGCCCAATCACAGTCCGCGACGTCATCGGCACGAGTCTGACTTCAGCGCCCAGCACCTTGATCGCCGCTTGGCGCGTATATGATGGCATTTACCGCATAAATAATATTTGCCGCGTCTGGAGAGGTGCCGCGTAAATGGCAAATCACATATAAAATATCCGCGTTAACCCAGACTATACTGTACACTACTTTTAGTATTATTAGTTTGATACAACATGATAAAATGGACAAACAATGGAAATGAAACACAAGTAGGTAATTACGCTCAGGAAGCTTCCCTGTGGCATGACAGGCAAATAGTCACACTGGAACCTGATAACCCGCGCTGGGCATTTAAACACTGGCGGGAAATGGCGTGCATCTTAGTTCGTCGCCCAGGGCTCGGGCGTCTTAGTACGTCACCCGGGGCGTAAGGGTTAAAGAGGATGACATACACAGGGTTGAGCAAGCTGAAATGAAAATGGTGAGGTGGATGTGTAATATGACAATGAAAGGCAGGAAGGCCCTGTTCAGAGCTATGAGGGCAGCTGGGTAGTGAGAGTATTGGTGAAGTTCTGTGCAGAGGCAGGCTGAGATGGTTTAGGAATGTGGAGAAACTGGATGAGATCAATTCGATCAAGAGATGCAAGCGTGAATGTAGAGAAGAGTCAGGGTTAGCTAAAAATTACATGCGAAACGTAAGAAATGTCATTAGAGTGAAAAACCTGACAAGAAAAATGCAAGACTGTAGCATGGAGAGTTGCATTCAGGTAAATGTGGTTAACTCACACAAGTGTGAAATTTGTGGGTTTTTGCTCTGAAATCAAAGCATGGATCATTTTTTTCCCCATAAAGCAAATCCTTTTAAATGAATGTTGGAAACTTCTTTCAAACAAACATACATGTTATGCAGTACAGATTATGTTACATTTGGCATTCATCACATTTCCAGTCAACTTTATGCATTTAAAAAATTATGTTCCTGTACGTCAATATTATCATACCTAGTAAATGTGTATGTGTGTGTGTGTGTGTGTGTGTGTGAGAGTTTGGCAATTGTAGTGGTGATACTGTACTAATAAAGGCTGTGTGACTTAATAGGTAACTGCCTTTTGGCAGGAGGGGGAGATATATCAGGAAATAGGGAAATTATTTATTGATCTCAGGTGTGCCAATGTGTTATAGATACAGGTATACTATTACTGTACAAGCAGATACAATAAATTCCATGAATGCAATTGAATACAAATTGTTGATATACTGTATTCAGTTCAGGAATTACAGGGAAGAAAATTATGTTGGTAAAAACATTATGCCACAAGAGTGGAGAAGAATGTGTAAAGAAAAAAAAATTATTGTAAGGAAATTTTTTATCTAAATGGAGTGAGAATATTTTTTGTAGTAGATCTTGAAGTTATTGACAAAATAGAGGTAGGATAGTTGTGTCTTTGGTAATAAAGGGATTAATATTTTAATCCCTATTTTTTATTTCTTATTAATATACAGTACAGGCAGTCCCCGACTTACGACGGGGTTAGGAACCCAAATCCGGGTCGTAAGTCGAATTGGTCGTCAGTCGAAAATGCGAAAATCTAAAATGGGTGTCTCGTTTTCTTCTCAGCACCACAAAATTCTCACTTTTAAGCTTGCCAGTCATTTTAAAGGGAATTACAAACGAAAATTTTGTCAGTACACAGCGCAATCACTAACGTCGGGACTCAAATATACGTAATTTTAAAATTTTTGGGTACGATTGGGGTGGTCGTAAGTCAAGTAGATCGCAAGTCGAGGAGTACCTGTACTGCACTATATACTGAATACTGATTAGTTACAGTATATGGTAAGGATAATAGAAAGGTAGAGAAATATTTAGTGAGGGGGTGACTCGGAGGCTTATACCCCCTGTACGTTGCATCTACTCTCACAGCTACCTAGGGGAAGGAGGTAATGGAGAAGCGCCTTTTTAATTTCTTATACAATGCAAACAACGTACTGTACCACCTTTAGTATCATTAAGATACATTCAAAGGTAATTTTTGTTTTCAGTAATAAAATTCATATTTTGTGATTTCATATCTGATAAAAACTTTTGGTGAAGTGTATTTTTAAGGCTGAAGAAGACAAGTGCAGGAGATGGATGACTTTTTATGATAAAGAAGTGGTTCTGCAGGTTATTCAAATTGAACAAGAAAAAAAAAAACCAGCGAAGAATGTGTTAATATGTGTGTGCAGTCTATTTGTGCCAAAATAAAGAACTAAAGAAAATGTGAACTGCATGTGACAGTAGACCAAGCTGTCAGAGATTGTGTATGTCTGTTGCTGTTACAATGGTTGTAGATCCTCAATGTACAAAAGTCCGGAGAGCAGAATATCATGAGACCACGTCCACATGATTTTACCACTTCTGAGGAACCATGTAGTGTCCAAATAAACTTTGTAGTGATACACGAGTTTAAAAAATTATCTAAAACTGCCTGGATGTATGTACAGATGGACAATACTGTATATGTGTTCCCAACAATGATTGTAGCATAAAGCAGTAACCTGGTTATATTGTTCTGAAATACTGAGTACTTACTGAGCTTAGGTTTCCTATTTTCAAGTTAATTATAATAATGTGAATCTACATAATGTACTGGTAGTAATTTACCGGGTATGTATCCTTTATATTTTATATAAGCTAAATATTGAAATTATCAGTTTTATAAAACAAAACAAAGCAGTTTTATTTACCCATTTATATACTGTATACAGATGTTCCCTGTATGTATGCAAGAGCCAGAAACCAAGCAAAGATAGGGTGTAGAAGGACTGAAAAGGAGTTCCAGAGGCTGGTTGTAAGCGAGGTCAAGTCAAACCCAAAGGCGTTTTACCGCTATGCAAAGTCGAAATTGAAAACGCGAGTAGGGTATCAGACCTGAGGCTTGAAGATGGTAGTTACGCAGATTCTGACCAGGATAAAGCTGAAGCATTGAACAGCTTCCTTTCCTCGGTGTTCACAAGAGAGGACGCAACTAACCTTCCTTCATTTGAGGACAGACGGTTCGACACAGCACTGACCCACATTGTGTTCACAGAAGAGGGTATTAGAAATAAACTGTCCAGGCTAAAGGTCCATAAGAGTCCTGGCCCTGACATGGTGCATCCTAGAGTGCTAAAAGAGTTGAGCAACGAGCTTGCCGAGCCCCTGAAGATCCTGTTTTGTAAATGCCTGGATGAACGAAAGTCCCGAGTGAATGGAAAGTGGCTTATATGAGTCCTATCTTCAAGAAGGGCGATCGTCACTCCACGAACAACTATAGACCAGCGAGCCTGACCAGCATAATATGTAAAGTACTTGAGAGTATTATCAGAGATGCAGCAATGGAACATCTAATACGAAACAATCTTGTAAAGAATTGCCAACACGGTTTCATGCCGGGACGCTCCTGCTTAACACAATTGCTCAAGGTATTGGATATTTGGAACCATATTCTGGAACGGGGTGCTAATATCGACAATATTTACCTAGATTTTGCCAAGGCTTTCGACAGTGTACCCCATGAAAGGCTGAAAATCAAACAGGAAGGGTACGGAATTCGGGGAAATGTCCTCGCATGGAGAGAAGACTTTCTACATGACCGCAAGCAGTGTGTGGTGATTAATGGCACGAAATCGTCATCTGTACCTGTCACAAGTGGGGTACCACAGGGCAGTGTATTGGGCCCGCTGTTGTTTGTTTGCTTCATAAATGACATGCCTGACGTTGTACACTCCTCCATACAAATGTTTGCCGATGACGCTAAGTTATTTCGGGAAATTAAGAACCAAGCGGACTGTGAAGAGCTGCAGAAGGACCTCTGTGGGCTCCAGGAATGGTCAAAGAAATGGCTGTTGAGATTCAAATCACGAAGTGTAAGAGGATGCACCTGGGGCATACCAACGGTAAGGAGGCGTATCATATGTCCCAATGGGATGAAGAAACTGCACTAGTTGAGACTGAATGCGAGAACCTAGGTGTGTATGTTGA